AGAGAAAGGATTTCGTGGCGTCCAAATTGCCCTGCGCTTTTCGGTATACCATTTCGCGCAAAATGGGAGTCCGTTCACAAGCAAAAAGGTAAAGCAGTCTTTCATCATGGTTCCGAAAGAGTAGATGGGCGGCTACTCAAAAATAACTGAAACTAGAAGGGGTGATCTACTGAAACCTCTGAACCTATTGATTAACTGTACCCCTGTCCAACTGTAAGGACAAAATCCTATATAAAAGCCGAAAGATCCAAAGACACGTCCTATTCGTTACCTCAACTTTATAACTCAACCGTCCGTCCTTACTCTAGTTTAAGATCATTGCGGACCATCGTCTGTGAATTCATCTACTGGGAGAAAGTACAAAAACCAAGGTCAGCAGAAAAAGTCTTAGTTTACAGGACAAACTACATGAAAACTTTTTTTTACAAATATATTAGAAATACATATCATTCGATGCACTTCGTCACGCTGGTTTACAATATCACTCTGGTTTTCAATAAGAACGCTCCCTGGTCGAGAAAAATGGGTTTTATCCGAAAAATCAAGGTTTTTGGAAAACCTTCACAGAGATCTATAAAAGGTTATGCATCGATATGCATGTACCACAGGTGCAGTGAATGTAGACGAACGTTTTGGAATGGTTTTAGATAAACTTGAGAACGTGGAAACTCCTTACACTCGCCACGTCACAGCGGAGTCCTTGAATAAGAAAAAGCATTTCTTGCTTACCAAGGCGTTTTGATACTTTTTTTGGCTTTATGATTTTTCCCACTCGTAAAAGCTTTTTTATACCTACGTGAATCGATAACAGCAACGCAATAATAATCAAAATTTAAAGTTTCAAGTTGGTCAAGTGCTAGATGAACGAGACTACGGTACGCGTATTGGATGATTTTATGTGATGATGGCACCATGAAGAAGTCTACCAATGTACCATTGACAAAGCAGATGAACTAAACCTGACATCATTGACCGTTACATTTTTACCCAGGGGATCGAGCAGTACAAATTTTGATAAGAGGATAAGTACACAGATCCTGATGTAGTACAAAGGATTTCACTCGTCCTATGTAAAGTAGAGGTAAAAAAGTTTAAAAAAGGCGAGATGAGAGAATGTTTTTTAAAACTACATTTTGCTCCTTTCATAAAATAAATTTATTTCAGCATTTCCTAGATTAACTATTTCTGAACATTCGTCTAGATCTTTCATATAGTTCCAACAATAGTAAACATTTGAACAACTTAGTCCACGACAAATAATACATTTTTCGCAACATGATTCATCATTGCATTCGTCACATGCGAACTAGTATTGTTGTGTATGTATGAGAATTACAAATCATATAATTATTAAAATGTTCAGCAGATTGAGATGTAGACTACGCTTCTTTTTCGTTTGGATACCAAAATTGTAAAAATTTTAGTGCATAAGTTAATTCACACTTTCTGACAATGTGAGATTTTGAAAAAAGCAGTGAAAGGACTGGCCAAAAGATGCAATGTAAGTGTGCGATACAGAGGGTTTTGTAGAACAGAAAATCTTCTGCGGTCAGAATGAAGTCTTGGAACCATACAGTATACAGACAAAAATAGGTACATATATAACCCCACCATCTCAGGACCATCTGTTGTTAGTGACTGAATGTTAAGACAAATATTATTTTTCAAAGTGAATTAATTAAATCCCGACGGTTTCTTTATTCAAAGTATCTGTGATAAATAGCTAACAGAAACATTATTAAATAATCAATTACGTCGAGTACAAAAAAAATACAGCCTGTTCCTTCCGTCGCAGTTGTGCTTCTTACCTGTTCTTATTCTACACTATTTTTTTAGATAATGAAATAATATATAATGAAAGAAGGTACTAGGTTTTGCAGAGCAAGAAATTCTCTATCGAATAAGTCTAGAGTGAAGTGTTAGAACTTTAGTTAAGTGCCAAAAAAAAAAGAGAACAAAAGTGAGTCATTATTTCTGCGCCATCCAGTATTGTATATCGTTTTTTCTACAAAAAAGTTCAATACGTACACTAAGTTGTTTCCGATAAAAAATTAAATTTGGATTATATTTAGACATATCTCTTCACTCGCGTTTTCTAACCCATTGGTTGAGTATAGAACACGAAAATGTGAAAATAGAGAATGAGAAGTATTATAAAACATTTTTCTCAAAAAAACATCCGGTTTTCTAACTCTATGCATAAATCCCTAGATTTAAATACCAAAAATGACTTAGTATTTTATCAAATAAACCGTAAGGTGGTTTTATGAAACACTTCTGGTTTCTTCAAGATTTTCACATCTTAACGATCATGAAAGAATTGGAAGCAACTCAGTTTACTTCCGTTGTGTCTCTTTAGTTGATGAACGATGTCGATATGCTCGTGAATATGAATGTGCGGTTACTGAAGTATACATCAAAAGAAATAAAATAGCATGTGCATGTTAAAACAAAGTCGACAAAAGTAAATATAGCCAAACGAAAACGATGATGACGAGCAACAAAAAAATATTTATTGATATTAATTTACAGTATTTAATATTGAATAGTACTAAAAACTACATGTACACTATTTTTATTGTTTTTGGATGAATTTATCATTGTGCTAAAAAATAATAGTTCTTCTTTATCAACATGACTTTCCTTTTTAACTCTAAAACGGAAAATATTTGTTTTGTTTGTATAGATGTGTTTCTTATTTCCTTATAGTGATCATATTTCACTTTTTTCGCATACACATACGACTTCATCTAACATATTTTACTAAAATACACATAGAGACGTACGCGTACATAGTAAACTGAACATTCCATGCCATCACATCAGATAAAACCTATATAGTAAAAGTTTACTTCAAGCTATATATATATATATATATATATATGTATATATGGATAGTGAATTAACCGACTATCCCTTTTTTTTATTTTCTCTCATTTCGTTTAATCATTTCGCAATGATAATGTGGATGTATTATCTGCCTTCTGACCGAAAAAGTGCATCATTGGTATACTGAAAAATGGAAAGAAAAGAATTAATACGGCAACGGAAAAGTTTCCTTTTTTTTATGTTGTGCTATTTGAATAGTAGTCTAAATATTCTGTTTTTGACACACACCATACACACACCACTTTTCTTTCTTTTCTTTCTCTATTTTTCGATGATAGTTTAAGATATCCATGTATAGTGTGGTTGTTGTGTGTTATATGCGCAAGATAGTTTTTTCGCTGTACGAATAGAAAATACTTCTTGTCAAATCCATTTCTTTTTCCATATTTGTATAGTGTAATCAAACTCGAAATATTCTATCTTCTATCTGTATAAAGTTTATATAGTTATACGGAAATCTGTATATTCTCATTTCGTTCCAGGATTATATGATCCAGCAACGATGAAACGAAGAGTGCATGTACTCTCTAGAATAGAAAAATCCGTCCATTTTTTCCCTCTTTCTATTTTTTTTTCTCGTTCTATTTCTTTCCTCTCTATATATATTTGTCATCAGTTTCGATCCATTAGTAGAACTTTGTTTTTTACTGATGTTTCGTTTATTTAACTACTATGCAGAAGGAAGTTCAAACGCTTTTTTTTGTACATTCCGTTCTATTTTGCCAGACTTATGTTTCCTTTTCTTCTTTTTTTTTTTCAGCAAACAAATACCATTCGAATACACACATAAATCATTATTATCTGTTGTGTTTCCCATTCGTTTTCGCGTTTTCCAACATCATTTTTTTCTTCGCTTTCTCTCTCTACATATATTTACACAAGTAAAACGACGTCAAAAGTATGCTCTTTATACCGAAAAGAACAAAAAAAAGAGACTAGAGAGACGCATATTGTACACATTGAACATAATGACGAATTGATTTTTTTAGTTTTTCAAACAACAGCACACATAAAAAAGAAGTAGAAAACGGTAGATTTTCAACAAAAAAAAAGAAGTTCGTCCGTGTCGTCATTCTTTCCTTGCCACTTTTTTTTTTCATATAATATAAAAAGCACTGAACTGTGTGTATGTGTGTGAGTTTCTTTTTCAAATAGATATATGTGCGGACTTTTTTCAACTCAAATAAAAAAATAGCGTCTACTACGACAACTAAAAAATCTGAGCTGAACGCTGCACGTTCAAAACATCAATCAACCATCAAAGAACAAGAGTGAAAGAATAAAGGTAATATACTGTTAACACTCATTTATATTTTCTCACAAATCTATATCGATAATCGATCAAACTTCCTTTTAACTGAAAATAGTATGTTTTTAATCCTCTCATTTTTTCTTCTTAAAATACCGAAATAAAATAGGTGTGTGCTACGTAGAGTATTTCCGAGAATGCAGATCGATAGTAGCACTATTTTTTATTTGAAAAAATTTTTTTTCAAATTTTTTTAAAACGTTCGAGTGATATGATCTATTTCATGATGACCTTGGTTCTACTTTATCTACAATTTAAAAGACAATTTTAAAATTTGTCTACTCTCTATTCATATTGTTTGATCTTTGTTTTTGTTTTTAGAAGTTAAAATATCACCGGGTAAGCAGACCAAGTTTTATTTCTGTGAAATATTCATCTAGTTCTTTTCTAGTTCAACAAAAACGTTTAAATTGAAATTTTGTGTTTGTTTCGTCGCTAAATAAGTATTATTTCCAACGAGTGTTAGCGGAAACTACTTCAGTTAGGTTGACTGTTTTATTATATAGTGAGAAAAAACACTGGTGAGATTCATGTTTTTTGAGTCACTACTCATTTTACTAGTTTGAACACATGGTACATGGTACAAATGTAAACTTTTAGTATTTCGCTTTCTTTTAAATGTGCAGATGTTAATCTTTGTAGATATATAGAGTAGATGTATTAAATATTGAAGGCGAAATGTCTATGTATGCTCGAATGATGTCATGAAATAAGAAAACCTTTCAGAGTAAAGAGGATAAAAAGTCAGTAATTACTCGATATAAACTACCGTTTATTCAGCTTAACAGATAAGGAATTTTATATGAAAAAAAAGAAGCGCGGTCGACTGAATAAGGTAAAATCTGGACCACAAAAAGCATAGCAACTACAGTCCTGTAGGACAGCTTCGAACTCTGGTCCATCTGTCCCATTCAGCAGCTCAGACAGACATGGAACAAGAATTGACTGGAATCGCGAATTTGAGCAAGAAAAAATTGCACGATGTCGGCTTATGGACTTGGATCAAGTTGCAGAAAAAAGTTGTCCTGTACGTTTTTTCCTTTTGCTTGCAATTACGCTGCAACTTCAATTGTTTTATTCCTTTAATCCATTAAATCTAAACCGTAATTTTGTAATAGCTAATAAAAGATAAACAGAAAAGACAAAATAGTTTAAATATAAACTTGTGATGATGTCTCACATCTAAAACACAGTTATAAATCTTTCTTTTTGATTCTGAACTATAGTGAGTAGATGTAAAACATATTTTTGAAAAAAAATTTTAACTTTAGAATGAAATAAATTAAGTTTAAGTTTTGTCATGCGAATTTTGCAAAGAGTAAGTTGAGAGTTTATAGGAAAATACCAGATTGAACAGAATAATTAGTTAGACGAAGCAATGCTATCAATAGCGTAATTTTCAACTCTCACTTAAGTTACAGTTACGGTTTATCTCAACAAAAAATATTTTCAAAAAGTTACAAAAAAAACACAGTTTTTTCACAGATCTCGGTACAACATTTTTCCCACATCGCTTCACGCTTATTAGACGGGACCAATAATTTTGTGTTCAAGATCTAGACTCTAACAGCAATAGTCTTTTTGTTGCACTTTCTCCTACTTAAGAATAAGACAGTATTGTTCATTTCGACCAACCTTATATTAAATTTGGAATTTTTAATGCATAACGATGAATTTTAGCTTCAATCTATTTCATACTAAATTTTTTCTACTCTTTCTTCATCAATGTTCATATCACTGGCGAGACAATTCATTAATGAAAGTTATATTGTGGGTTTTTGCGCTAACTCGGTCTTTCTTCCTTTCTTTCTTTTGTCAGACATAATTATGGAGTAATGCTATTATTTTCGTTCTAGTCATTTCCTATATCTATGCAACAACCATCGGATTCATCATCGACTGTATGTACAACAAATGTACAAGTACCATTGAAAATTGAACAAAAATGTGAACCATTAGACTCTTATTCCTATACAGCTGATGAATCAGCCATTGCAGATTTTATGGCCGTATTACCACAATTAGATCCAGGTGATATGAATAGTACAACAAGTAATACCAGTAACTCTCAGAACGAGACTAATGCTACATCTGAACTACGGTTCTACAGCAACTGTACTACTTTTGTTCTCAAGCAACCACCTTCTCAGTTATCTCTCCACATTTAGTCGACTTTCAAGTCGAATCGTAGAAACGTTTTAAATAAGTTTGGGATAGTCATATTGGTAGAGACTTTCTGTGTTATAGCAACATATTAGCGGCCTTATTTTCCTCGATTTTGGTTATACTGAGTAAACACTCCAAAGATCTCATGATCCAAAACACGCTCTTAATGTTTGCTCAACTTTTTTATTCATTCTTATTTTTTAGTAAATGATACAACTTCACCAACTTCGTCATCGGGACATGGCGTTCATTCTCATTTAACAAATGGTACAAGTAAATTCGATGTGTATAATACGGCGACAGCTGCACATCCCGTCCATCACGGTCACCGTCATCACATGTCTGGTGCTATGCGAATAGCTACGGCTCTCGTTAAGAAACCTCAGCTATCCACACTCAACGATCAACAATATCATTCGTCGCATCATCATGATACACCACCACAAAACAGTCCAAATTCAAATTCGAATAACACAACGAACACGAGCAATAAACGTAAACGTAAAACAGAACATCCAGCACAAAAACGCGTACGTGGTTCATACAAACTCGTATCACCCGAACAAAAAGTAATGATTCATGAATATGCAGAAAAACATGGTGTCAAAGCGGCAAGTAAACTGTTTCAAGTTGCACCGTCCACTATTGCTTCGTGGCTTTATCAAAAACCAAATGGTGAACGTACCTCAGCTATTCGAAATAAAGAAGCACATTCAAGAATTCTCGAATGGGTTAAACAACGTCGTGATTGTGGTGAAAGAGTGAATAATAAGGATTTTCATTCTTATGCACTGGCAACAATGAGAGAATTAACGGGAAATCCAGATTTTGCTGCTAGTCGAAGTTGGTGTAGCAATTTTATCAAAAAATATCAAATACAGTTAGACAGGTAAGATGATTGGTGGCTTTGAATGAATAAGCATTGAAAATATAAGTAGTGACGCAGAAATATAATTGTTCGAAATATATAGTATACGCAACAGTTAGCTTTTTCCACTTGTATTTAAGTGTGCATGTGTTAGCTCGTGAATTTCAGCGTAATGCCATAGACGGAAATATCTGATAGTAAAATAATTTCAAGAGAGACTATTTTAACTAGTTTTGAACATTGATGAATTTAGATAATGTCATAAACCTAAAGTTTTAATGTTCAATAGAGCATGATATCGCGCTATTTCTCATTTCTATATTATTATTTCAACTTTAATTTTAGTGATAAACTATCTGATTCATCACAGTTTCGATTTGATTCAAGCGGACTCGATGAAAATGCTAGTGGTATGTAATCTCTGTATTTCTACTTTTCGATGTCTTAATTATTATTTTCTTCATAACTAGAAAGTTCATTATGTTTTGCTGGTGCCAGTAGTCCAAGTGATACAAAATTAGATGAAACCGCTCTAACAGATGAAAGTCAAATTGTGTCACCAGACGAATCATCGCATGTACTTCAAAATTATAGTCCATCATCAGCCAATAACAATAATGTCAATGATACAACAAGTTCACAACTTACTCAAAGTGGTGCAAGTGGAGGAGATACATCAAAACCCACAACAAGTTCAATTAAAACTGAACAAAAACAATCGCGTCGCCACCGTCAACACCACCATCACCAACGCCAAAGAAATTCAACAGAATCAAGTTGTGACGAAGATGACGATTCGTTATCATCACCAACAAAAATAATGGCTGGAATACAAACAACACAATCACAAAAAAAGTAAGAATTAAAAGAAAGAGTTCTACAACTAAATTAAATTTTTGTTCATGTTTTATTTTAGTGGTAGTCTCTCATTGTCTAAAAATCGTGTGAATGATAATGATATATATCAACAAGCAGTATCCACTAGCAGTATGTTACCCATTTTATCCTCTTCATCCTCCCTTTCATCGACTAATCTAGCTTCAAAACGTACAATAAATCGTTTATTACATTCTCAATCCACCATAAGTACAACAAATAGTACTCACCATCAAACTACTAAATCTACAACATCAGCTACTCGACATTTAAGTTCAGATACACTTAGTTATGGTGGTCATTCATCGACAACTCATGTCAATGGACTCTATTTAAATATGGCCATTTTACCACAATCGCCATCACAGCAACGTGATCAACAACCAACTGTTCCCACAAACACCATTGAACATGAAACAAAAATTGATAAACAATTGGTTATGCACAATCCAGAAACTACCACACAATCTGTTGAAAGTATGTAGAAGTATAGAATCTTCATAATTATATATAGAGAAAACTATTTAATTATCTTTTATTTAGCATTTGTTCAACATTATGAAGGTACTCTGAATACTATGACATATTTTCAAGAAAAATTACGAACTTTAGTTGCAACTATTGCACGTAAGTTAGATCTATCGTCAAATTTATTTTCTTTTTCTCACCTCTATTTTAATATTTATTTATAGAAGAACGGGATGCATTACTTCAGTTATATCTAAAAGAACGTGATCGTCGAATTGTGATTGAATCACGTTTAAAAGAAATTATGTAAAAAGTCCATTTTTCTAGTCAAAAAAATAATCTGTGATTATTAAACATATACTGTTATGATACTGAACCTGAGACAGTGAACCATCTATACGAACAACAATTAATCAAAAAAAATTTGCCTCGAACAGTGCTCGTCTTTTTTTACCGTTAGTCTGTGTGCGTGTGTGTGTGTGCGTGGGTTTGCAATTCGATGTTAAAATGAATCAAAATTTCTTGATTTCTTTTTCATTAGTCACTTTAAAAGTATTTTTCTTTTTATTGTTATTCAGTATTGTTTTGTTTAGTATTTTGTTTTAGTGACTTTTCTAACCAAACGTGTAATATTTGTAATCTAGTCAGACAGAAAAAAGAAGTCACTCTTTTTTTTGTTTGCAAATTATTATAAAAAGAAAAAATGAATATAAGAGTGGTCAATTATGAAGTTTGGGTATTACACAATTATGTATTTGTGCACCTTAGTATAACGAGTAACAGATAATATATACTAGACAGCATGAAAATATTAATGAATTCTGCCGCCTCATTTATCCGCCAAATACTTTCCAACCAACTATATGAGTTTCCCGTAAAAAAGGCAATTAAAAGTATAAAGACTGCCAGAAATATTAACTCTTTTTGACTCTCCTAAAACTGACAAGTTCAACATCTCGCTAATCTTTAGTCCTCAATAAAAACTGAGAATTTTTAGCATAAAATTATAAACGATTTGTTTGACATTTATTTCGAATATCGTTTTATTCGCCCACTAAAATTAACTATCTAATATACAATAGGTAAACTTCTATTTATATATTCTATTTATAATAAAGTTCTTGACCTAGTTTTAATAGTCTTACTACTATCGTCGCCAAAATACAATGAACTTGAATGTTTTTTGAATAACTCGACCTTAAAAGTTTATCGGTCGCCTGAAAATCCGAGTTTTCTGGGACCACCAGGATCGATCTTTCTCCTAGGCCGTCAATGTTCAAAACACATGATTCATAGGTAATCGATGCTTCCGATCACTGTGGCAATATTTATTTTATTGAAAAAAGTAGAAATAAGGTAGACTGATGAGTTTTTCAAAAATAAGGCTTTTAGAACTATGAGCATG